GGCTCGTTTTTGTAACCTGAAGATATTGAGAGAACCAGGTGAGTTTCTCCAAAGAACAATCTCATAACCAATCTGAGAATGAAAAAGCGAATAATAAGTAATTTTTAATATATCGAAGCTGGTAATATTTTGAAGTTGTCGTAGAACATAAATAGTGCTGGATAACTTGCTCCTAAGCTGATTCGTATGTTGATGCCAAGATAAGGTATTGTCAAGTGTTATGCATAGCAATTTCACGCTATCATATAGATTTGATTGAGAATGTTCAAACGAAATTCTTAAGTAATTGTGCTTTTCACTTTGGTATTCAACGAAATGAATACGAGTATAGTCAACTCTTAACCAAGTTAAATATAAAATCATTGGAAGATAGGAGAATCCGCATAAACATTTTCGTTGATATATCCCCATCGAACATGAAATTCTAAGTGACTTTTCTGCGTCTTTCAACAAATTTTCTGGATAGGCTGTGAAGTAGGCCAAAACTACAATTTCGATGTTCTCATTGTCTACGAGTATTTTTTTTTGTTGATGACAGACGAAAAAGATCCGAAATCACGACAGTTTCTCAGAAGTTTCCTCAAATTCATTAGAATACCCTAAACGAGACATTTTGCACACAAATAGAAAACTACGAAGTACACGTCAATTATATCGCATAAAATTTTGACATATTTGTTTTCAAAGCTGTCTTGGTGGGCCTAAATGTGTTGAGAAATTAAAAAATGTAATAAAATACAGGGTATTCTATTTGAAATAAGGAAATTGCTCCCAACTTCCGGTATAACGGAAAGAGACCGGAAGTTCAAAATACTTTTGTTGAGAGGGCCATTTTGTCTCTACCACAGAATTTCAAGTTTTCATTTTGAATCGTTCTCCATATATTCCTAACGAACGCTGGTCGTGAAAGACCCTGTATTGATAAACGATGAATTCTGTGAAACAAGTGTAGATATTTTATACAGGGAGAAACGGTGACTGAACGGGTACTGTATCGATGAACGAGAAAAGATCTCACGTCACAATTATTTTTGCTATAACTGACTACTAGTTATTATATTCAGTGCAGTGAACATATTTCATCTTTTTAATACCTTGGAGGGACAAATACATTTCCTAACAATCAATTGTGTTCAGGGGATTTTCTTAGAAATAAACTATCTCTGCTTCAGTTATAATGGACACAGATTACATCTTCTGCTTCCAAGATTACCCATTGAGAGTAACATGAAGGTAGCACTTAGATAGTGATAGGTTTGTGATTGCATAATAATTACACAAGTATGGCAAACCGTAATGTTAACATCTTCTATTTATCAAATAAGGATTTCCTGTCTTTTTCATTGAAGACTTGTAGAATTTTAAAAATCTTCGTGAGTGTACCGTGTGGTAGAGTTACAAAGCAAAACTTCAATCGTGGGAAAATATTATCTCGTGTGATTCATGAATTAATTTTATGCATTTTCATTAATTCCTAAGAATTGAATCTCGCGAACAAATCTCCAAACGGAGAAGAAACATCCCATGTACCAAACAAGACTAAAGACTGCATCGAGAAAGATGGGGCTGTTACTAATTGACAATCTTTCTCTTAAACGAATGTTTCATACAAGCAGTCGAAGTGCGATGAAATCAATCGAGTCCCAGGCACACTGCTATTTGGGTCGGATCTTTCCTGCACAGATGAGAGGTAATACCTCAAAACCGGTCTGATGATGATGATTATCATTTACTAACAGTTAGTAACTGAAGCATAAAAAACACTGCACAAGGAACAACAAACAACTAATCAGTTTCGACGTAGAAAGCCTCTACACCAACGTTCTGATCGAAGAAGCACTTCAAATCATACATAAGAGGGGGATCTGGAAGATAGAACGAATTTACCTATAGAAGTAATTATGAAATTACTAGAATACTGTGTACGAAACTGTAAATTCCTACTGAAGGACGAATTCTTTACACAACATGAGGGATTGCCAATGGGATCGCCACTTTTACCAGTCATAGCCAACATATATAGAGAGTGGTTTGAAACTCTAACCACTGAAGTAGCCTACAAGGAACCTCGTATCTGGTTGAGATACGTTAAGGACACCTTCACCTTCATAACATGGAACCATGGGAATACTAAACTATAGTATAACAATTTTCAATTGATGGTAACTCTTATACAAATTGAACTGAGAGATAACGGCAACAATGTTGAATGTTAGAACAAAATTCTTACCGGGATCATTTTTATTGTCTATGCATCGCCATTGTAAATAATTGAAAAGTAAGATGATTCCATAAAATTTGCCCCCCGTAACAAGATAGCTTCTGCATATCGATAGGATGTACGAGCGAATAGGTGAACCAGTTCGCAGTTATTAGCCAGGGGAATAGTTGTTTTCTAATAGGTGTCAGTCCATTAATCTACAGTGTAGGGAGTTGAGACTGGCCTGAACGAAATATTCATACAATAAACTGTAATAATTAGTTTCAAAATTGAAAGGTCCAATGGCGTTCAGCTTTCAGGTTGGAATACAGATGAAACTTTTTCGTGGAAAGGTAGCTCCAATCATTGAGAGTCTATATAAAACAAGTATATAGAGCTAATTTAGTTTTCACTCATTCATTCAAGATTACAATATTTGCTTAGTACATAGGAAACTGCTTCAAATACAACTTTGAGACCATTCAAAAGTTCACAGAATAAAACTATCAAAGCTGCACTCCGTTATAAAATATAGAAATTTACATGATAATTGAGCAGGACAGCTCAATAATCTGGTAAAAAAAATCTCAAAACTGCATTTTCCAGAAAATATATAATGTACAAAGGAGTAATTACGTATAATGAATTACCAAATGACATTGAACAATTTTCCAACACTGAAAAATTCAAAATAGCAACGAAGAACTATTTGTTTCATTCATTCACATAATTATATTTGTTTGATTTTTTCTTTGTTGATAACTAGACCAGTGCTGAAATATCTACCTTTGAACTTATGATACACTGATTGGAACCTTTGGTGTGGTAATGAATATTACTGGAGTTTTTTCCCAACACCAAATCGTTAGTTTTAACACCTCGACACGTGTTTCGATCACCAAGAGATCATCTTCAAGAGCTACTTTGCGAAACTAACCCCATTTATGCTATACAGGTATACCATACAGGTATACCACACATACAGGTATACTACACCTAAATTAATTTTACAATTTGCCTCATCTATTATTTTACAATAAGTTCTTATGCAATGTTTAGACGTTATAGCTAAATATAAAACAATTTTCAGCTATATAAAAAAATAATTTCACAATATTGCCTATCTGAATTTATTTTCACAATGTGTCCTTAGGTACACATTGTGAAAATGAATTTAGATAGGCAATATTGTGAAATTATTTTTTTTATATAACTGAAAATTGTTTTATATATAGCTATAACATTTAAACATTAGGGACATATTGTACAATAAAAAATAAAGCAAATTGTAAAATTAATTTAGGTATGGTATACCTGTATATGGGGTATACCTTTATGTATGGTATACCTGTATAGCATAAATAGAGTTTTTTTGGTCCCTTGGGAGCTGTCTATCTTGTCCATTTAGTCCAAGTCTCCATAAAACACTGCAGCCTCTTGGGCTTATTGCGTTTATTCTTCCATCTTCTCATGACCCCCATTCCATCAGTCTCGTTCCCTGTACTAGTTTGTACAGGTTCCGTGTTGGATGTTCGTCATATTCTTCTGAACGTAATTTTGTACGTCCATATATTGCTTACCTCCTGGGATTCAGTGCCTCACATTCACATAAGATGTGTATCTTATCCCTTCGTTGCATAATCTGCAGCAGAGGTCTCCGTTGAACAGCCCCATTTTATTCAGGTGTCCTCTGAGCGGACAATGACCAGTTAGTGACCCTGTAATTATTCTGAGCCGATCTCTATTATATTGAAGTAGTTCTTCGGTTCTTTTCTCGGACGGCTCCCTAATGAAGGTTCTACTATGTTTGTTGCCAGGTACTTTTGTCCAGTAATATGTGTGCTTCTTATTGGCCCATGTCCTAATCTGGTTTCGTACCAGTAATATTCAGCTACATATTCATACATATCAATGTATGAATATTTTTTGTATAAATAATTTCTTGTTTGAACCACAGTAGTCTCTTGGGAATGAAAAATAAATTAATATACTAACTAACATTCAAATTCCCTATTGAGTGACCAACAAGAGGTTAACCACTCACCATTGTTAAATCTTTTTTCATATTCAAAATTCACCTGCTATCCAAAAATTAGATTGTTATAGTATTTCAAATTATACTTGTTATCTCATTTACCATTAACCAATTATGTGAGGTAATTACTACTGTTGGGTATAAGGATTGTATTTTAGACCAGCGTGTGCAGGTACTATTTTATTACTGACGAAACTAGGGTGTTATAGAAACGCAACTAGAATAAAAAAGTGTTTGTGGAAATTGGTTAACTATTATAATGGACATTGTCAATAATTTTTATCAAGTAATGGGTCGGTTTATTCCTAAAATCAGTTCGGATCAATGAATCAACCTTTCAACATTCTCATGGTCTACCTTGACATTTTATGTAGGGTGTAGTCGGACCAGACTTCGTAATGCAGAGTTGTAGTTTTTATGCAACGCAGACGAGTTATATTTGCGTCATAACTTCTGTAATGTCACAATAATCGAATAATGGATTTTTGTGCACCAGTTTTGGACAATGAATTTTTTCAATAGATTGATACTTAAATCAGTATGAATAATGTATAATGTGAACAAATTTAACATGTTTTCTGTTACTGAAGGAGTTGAGGCCTCATTTTTCATAAAAACAATTCCTCAACACTATTCTACAATTCTACTGATGCATAAGTCAATCTAGATTAGAAATTTCAATGAAAATAAGTCGCCACAAAATTAACAATGAAAAGTCATAAAAATAAAAAAGTAACTTTACAATTAAGAAAATAAAAGTAAAACTTTATTTAATCAGTTTATTGACAGAAAATCACATGAATTCTGATAAGCACATATAATAGTAACAGTAGGAAAAATTCAACTCGAAAACAAAATAGAAAATTAGGAAATTATCTTTCAACATCAGTTAAGTCGACCAATTCACCGTCTTCATCAGAAAGATTTTCTATTTCTTCGTTATTCTCTTTTATTACAAATAGATTATTATCAGTATCACCATCGGACCTGCTTCCTTTATCAGAAGATAAGTTCTGGAAAAAATGAGAGATAAGATATTGTGTTTGAGAAAAATATGTGAAATGAAGTTCATTTTTACATTTTCAATGAAACACCACTTCGAAACCTATAAAAAATGGAACAATATTCATCAGCTTGGATACAATATTTGGGAAAAAAAGTCCTATTTATATTCACTTCATTTCCAAAACATTCCATCACATATTTGAGAATTGAAAATATGTTTTGTAGCATATTTGTCTCCATCATTGTTTAAAGAGAGATGTAGTTTTTGAAATTTGAAAATTATCATGTCACTCTAGCTATTAGGTTGTTTGAAAAGTTCTGTACGTTTTGATGTCATGTGCTATCTAAACAGCCTTCGACAAGGTCTGATCTGGAAACTTATCCAAATACACCTCCCACCCCACTTCATTAGACTAGTTGCCTCATAATTTTCCAACCGATAAATCCGCGTAAAAGTCGGTGACGCCCTATCCTCTCCCCTCACACCCAAATCTAGAATCCATCAGGGTTCTGTCCTAGCCCTTTCTCTATTCCTAATCTACGCGACGCCCCTACCACTCTATACTTTCTCAACCCTAATACCCTAATTCCACAAACTCAAACCCAAACAACAATAAACCACTTTGAATGCTGAAGCAACAAGTAGCGTATCAAAATAAACCCCAGCAAAACCCAAACCATCCCCTTCAGGCACCCAAACACCACAGACTTGAACCTCAGACTTTTGGAAGAGAATCTCCCACTCCAAGACTTGGTGACCTACTTGGGGTATAAAGCCACGATCTACTGCACACTCTCACCGAGTAATCTCACCGCATCCCATCAACCGAGTGAACAATCTTAAACCATATCCATGACCTTCTCTTTCGATTCCCTTCTCAATATCTGTGTAGAACAGTGAAAATTACCCCAATAAACTCAAGATTTCATGAAGCCCAAAGCCTATACGTCGCCAGCACAATAAGCGGCAACAACACTGCTGCCATCAACACACTGGCCACCTCCTAGACACTTCGCGATGGCACCAGAACGTCTCCGAGGAAAAAACTCTCATTTACCCAGCCAGACTCCTAGGAGCCCTGTAAGACCCTCCGAAGCGGATCCAGGACATCATCGAGGAGTACCCACTGGTGATAAGATAGTGGACAGCACACAACCTGGAGCACACTTAAGTCTCATCCTCTCCCACCATAGGCCTTCCCGAACCCCAAATGTACACCCGTCGGAATCAAATAAAACTACCCAGCACGCATCAAGAATCGTTAAAACTAACCAATAATTTAGATTGAAATAGTCTAAGAGAGATTGAATTAAGATAGATCAGAGTGATAGCTTGAAAAAACACCTGTTAATCAGGCCCTAACCCTAAAAAGGCATAAGCCTATAGTAGCCTCCCCCCCCCCGTACAACAACCTAATGTAACTAAAAATACATGTCTGACACTGTTGATAAACGTCTTGAATTGAATGCTATGTGTTTGTGCAGTTCCATATCTCAATAAATATTTATTCTACTGTGTAGTGGTAGAGGGTTGCCTTTTATATTTCGGGATTAGAGAACAAAAACAAATAGTAATCATCAAAAATCACTTTATCATTTCTCAAAATATTCCCCATGAAGATCTATACACTTTTGCATGCGTTTGAACCAATTGTCGAAGCACTTTTGCTACTCTGATTGAAGTATCTCCAAAACATGCATTCTGAATGCAGCAACCGCTTCTTCAGGTGTCGAAAAACGTTGACCTCTCAGTTTGTTTTTTACGGCGGATGACTCATCAAATCAATGTTTTGGGTCAAAAATGCAGTTGTTTGAGCCGATGTGTGAGAGCTCACATTCTCGTGTTGAAGAGTGATCTGTTTTCGGCGGTTGGTTCTCCTGATTTCTTGGAAGACAACTGGCAAACAAATGGTTGTGTACCACTCAGAATTGACTGTTCTACGTTGTTTTAGTGGTACGGTTGCGACATGTCCAGTTTTTCCGGAAAAACAGGCGACCATTTGTACTCTATACATTTTGTACTCTATACATTGGCTCTGTTCTTTTTTCCCAATTTCAATTTTTGGACTATTTTCAGCTTATTACTATATGATACTGTTGAGCGATTTTCAGCCAATTTTCCTCTACGAATTCAAATTGAACCAAAGCGCTACCGAAACAGCCCGAAAAATTAACCAGGCAATTGGCAATGATACTATCAATTTCATTTCGGAGATTTCAGAAATTGTGCCCCGAAGTGGTCGACCTACAGTAATTCAGGATGAGGATTTGAGGATCCTGTTGGAGACTGACCTATCACAAACGGTGCGTGGGATGGCTTAAGAACTGGGCGTTAGCACCCATGAGGTTCTTGATGGTTGAAAACATATTAGAGTGATCAAAAGCAAAAACGGCCTTGATCGATTTCATTGAATCCCGAGCAATTTTCATGCTGACGAAATTGATCGACTTGTATTACATTGGCAAATGTGCACTGATTCAAATAGCGCTTATTTCGATTTAATCAAATGAGTACATATTTACTAAGATATTACAGTTAAAAATAGGTTAATTAAAACAGACAAAACTTTTGAAACAACCTAATATATATTTTGTTGTGTATTTGGTTATCAGTGTATCTTTATACAAAATGTTTTCATTCGGAATGAGGAATTTGTTGGTATAGTTCAAGTAAACGATATAGTGCAACAGCTACCCTTCAATAATATAGTTAGGGAGCTAAATAATTTCGTTATTCAATAATCATTTCTGATTATATAAGAATCACAATAACTATATCGCTTCAAAAAAATTTCGCAAACTTTCTTCAAAAGCTTCTGATAATTCGTCTTCCATATTCTCTGTCGTTATTTAAATCAATAATGAATTCATTTGCACCATTAATATGGAAATGGCCAATCTTCATAAAGTCTTTTTCAACTAAAATTATTTTTTTAATCCTTTTCTGCCAGTCTTCTTCGGTAATATTAGATTCTTCTTATTTAATTAGCTCTATTACCTTCCTATCAAATTTTGGAAAATTATTTTTACGCCTGATGTTTTATTTCAATTTTTCCCAAATCAACTCGATGGGATTGAAAACACAAATATAGGGGGGAAGTCTCAATATGGTTTGTCCATACTTTTCAGCAATATTCTCAAGAGCAACACTTTTTCAAATGTTTTTGTCTGTAAAACTTCAAGTAGTTGGTTTTTGGTATAGTAATCTTCAAAATACAAATTGGTATCCATTAAAAAAGTATGTATTTCATCTTTCCTCTTATTTTTATTGGGTACTTTGATGAGCCGCGAATGACAGGAAGAGTTATTAAGAACTATTACATTATTCCCATCCAAATTTGGAATCAATGTGTTTTCCAGTCATTCCTCAAAAATATTAGCTTCCATGTTCTTATGATAGTCAACATTGCAGTCCCTCAAGTTTTTTCCACATAATTTCAAAGAATTCGGAACCCATCCTTAACTTCTTTCGCAATGCACAATGATTAGTTACGATCCTTTGTTTGCAGGCATGTTAGACGTACACATTCTCGAACCATCAGTCCAACCTTTCGTAAGTGTGTTGTGAGTATCATACCAAGTTTCGTCCAAATAGAAAATTTGCCGTTGTTCTTGTCTATATTTAGTTATTTGTTCTGAGTATTTGTTACGGACTTCCGCTATTCTTCTGTTTTCCATAAATGTTTGACGTTTGTTTATTATTTTAAATCTGAATCCTAGTTTTTTTATTCAATTCTGAGAAGTTTTGTCAAAGCAGCTCACGTTATGGCCGGAAGTATTCAATTTCTTCTTTATAATTTCAGTTGTAGAAATCTCATTGCTTTTGTATTATTTTTTTTTCAATGTTTTTATTTGATGAACATCTAATTTTGGTAATCCTGTATCTCATCACGTCTTACGTTCATAAGGTTTGTTTTTGACTATCTTACATACAGTTGAGAAAGGAATTTCGGTCAAATCTGATGTTGCTTGTAATAGTTTCTTTCCTTCAACACCAAACTTGGGATGTAGATTCTTATATACATTGAAACATACTCTCTTTGTTTCAATATTCAAATGCATCCGAAGCTTATTCACTGGTATCTTTTTTTGCATTGTTCACCATCGCTATTGGAATCACTACACTGGGAAAAGTCTGCGTTGTTATCACACTTGTTAGTATATTAGTACTTGTTCAAGGAAGCCACATTTTGAAGAGTAAACAAAAATTTCAAATAATTAGTACTGCACCAATATCGAAATTGATACTTACATCGCGATCAGTTCCTGAAATGAACACAACGGCGATAACCATCCTCGCATGCCCGATTTCTATTCGTCACCGTAACATGACTTCAAATTTAATCTCATGACTCTTCGGCCAGCCATAAAACTCGGTTGGTGAAAATTGTCTAATAGGAAAAAGGACAAGTTTGCTGCCGGTACATTTCTATGTATTGTTTTTGTTTTATTCGAGAGTGCCACCAACTTTAGGAGTACACAATATCGTTTACTTCGACTATAATATTGTGCATAATTCAATGAGTTCAGGGAGCTTTTGAGTTTGAAGAATACATTCAAAATATACTTACAATATCATCACTGGTAGTGGATGTTGATGGAGTTATCACTTCTTTCTCTTTTCCATACAATGGATTTTCGAAAGCTTTTTCTAAACTCACCACAGAACCTGCCATAGAGCGTCCTTCGAATATAAGACCAGCATCATCTCCAACGCTATCATATCTCGCAAAAAATCGGGAGGTAAAATTTGACATTCGGCGTGGTCCAAAATTCAGTCGTGGGAAATATCTCAGTTTCACTATCCTGCAGAAAAATCGATGAATATTACCAAATAAAAAGTAATGTTGCATGAGAATATTCACCACATTATTCGGAAAGTTCAAATATGGAGAAACATCTATTTCAGAAACAAACAATACAAAGCTCACAGCTTCTGAAATAATGCAGTTACAGTTTGGAAAAAGTTAGACAACAAACAGCTGAAACGATATATAATTGGGAATTACCAGAGATAAATAGTTATTTTTGTATTTGGTGCGTAAAATGAGTGTTTTTAATGGTACATGAGAGTGTGCCATTAAAAAGACTGTGAATGTAAATTTATAGTATGAAATTTATTCAAAATAAATATTTCCAATACATCTTGGTAGGTCACTGTCTCCCAAGAGGGCCTATATCTCTTCTGGCCAATGCAGGGGTCAAATTACATTCATAAAATGTCATGTTGGCTGGAAATCTGCCTTCGTAGCAGAATCATATATATAGAAGGTAGTTTGAATAACAAAATTGGAATTTCTAACAAAATATTGAATTGTCCATTTTCTTTCAAACATATAAAAATATCTGATAAAATTGTGGAATCAACTATTCAAGAAATATGTAACGTTTCTGATCAGCATGAAACATCTTCGGGAATTTATGTTGGAAGTAATTGTTCAAACTTTAATATCAAATATTATTCTATTAAATGAAAGTGTTTCATAATGGATAATCAATTAATATTTGACTCTGTTGAAAACAATCTTTCAAAAAGTAATATTTCATGTTTATTTTGTGAATTATTTCAGCTCAAAAAGAGGCTCGTGTCAAGTGGTGTAAGGAAATGATTGAAAAGTTTAGTCGTGGTGCTTCAAAAGACGTGCACCTATGAAATCGTGACAGGTGACGAATCATGGATATGTGCGTATGAGCCGAAAACAAAACAGCAATCCACCATGTGGATATTCCAAGGCAAGCTAAATCCAATAGAAGTTGTTCGCGGAAGTAGCACAGCGAAGCCTGTTATGGGTTATTTGACCACGTAATCGGTTGTGAGCAACATGGAACGGTCAATTCTGGGTGGTACATGACCATTTGTTTGCCGGAAGTGTTCGGAGAAATTTTTAAAACTACTGCCGAAGACGAATCATTTGGTGAATGATAATGCAAGCTCTCACACAATTCGTCAAACAAGTGAATTTTTGAGCAGTAAAAACATCGAACCGATGACTGATCCTCCGTACAGTCCTGATTTGGCACCCAATGAGTTCTTCCTGTTCCCGAATATCAAAGGTAAACTGGTCAATGAGCACCGACCAAGCAGTTGAAGGGTTCAAAAACCATGTCTTGAAGGTGTCTCAAGAGGGATGGAAAAACTGCCTCAGGAAATAGTTCGAATGAATACAAAAGTAAACTGATCATCAAATTCAAATTCAAATTCTGAACTCGAACTCGAACTCGAACTCGAACTCGAACTCGAACTCGAACTCGAACTCGAACTCGAACTCGAACTCGAACTCGAACTCGAATTCGAATTCAAATTCAAATTCAAACTCAAACTCAAACTCAAACTCAAACTCAAACTCAAACTCAAACTCAAACTCAAACTCAAACTCAAATTCAAATTCTTTATTAGAGCTAGGACACAAGAGTGTTTACACAAGTCATTTCAACTTGTACGTCAAACAATCAAAATTAAATGATACAAAAGAGCTTGGAAAAGGAGATTAAAAAATCAAAATAAAAGTCTGACAGTTATTAAAATTAGGTCAAAATTTGTATAATTGCGTTGTTTTGAAATGTAGAAGTACCATTGAAAAACTCATCGATATCATGAAAGGCATATTGTGAAAGAAAATGTTTGAGTTTCAATTTGATTCTAGTTCCATTCAAAGAAGTAATCCGAAAAACAATAAAGTCATTTTCATTAAAAAATATTTTTTATTATTTGTCATTCCCGAAATATAAATTGTACCCCTCAAACGCTCTGAAAGGAAGACTTCAGATCTGACTCGGAGAACCAAAGGTGGTCGGGAGTGACAAACCACTGCTTGTAGGCAAAATGAAAGCGCTATTTGTTTTTTCTCGGTAAGAACTCATTCTCAGAACCAGAGCTGTAGCAAACAAATTATTCTAATTATTCAATAAATGCTGGAAAATGTGTTTCTATCATTATCAAATATGTTACTTTTCTTTAAATCGTATGTATATTGTCGAACCAACCTGTTTCTCAAATTTTCCGCTCTACCGTCTGGTGAATATACCAAGAAAACTGCAACAAATACCAAACAAACTCCAAGCAGAGTACCAAAAACTACCCCTACTGTATTCTTGGTCATTGCACCTTCTTCGTAGTATGTGCCTGATGCATATAAATGTGGTTGCTTGAGATGGAAGCTCGGATCTGCAAACAGTATCACAAATATGTTTAGATCATGCATAGTTACTTTCAGATACAAACTGTAAGAAAAAGCTCTCTCTTTCTTCCTTCCTTAGAAACTTTTCCACATTTGTTTGATAATAACTGTCAGTTATATTGACCACGAGTGAATCTTTCTCTAGCCTCTGTTCTCAAAACATTCAGTAAAATATTACGATACTAGTATAAAACCTCAAATTGAATAGGCTCATATTTTATTCAGGACTTTTCGATTTACATTCATTTTGAAAAAGGTTATTTTCATGATATTGGTGTTCGGAAATCCTTTTGTTATTAACGTGAGTAATGAACTATACAGGGTGATTCAAAAGTACTTTGACAAACTTCAGGAGGTGATTCCTCACAATATTCTAATATGAATTGTTCAAATAAATAAATGTCCGGAAACGCTTCGTTTCCAAGATACAGGATGTTGAAGTTTTATTTTCATTTTCGTTTTTTTCAAATAACATTTGAAATACTGAACTTAATTAAACGAAACTTGGTAATAGGAGGTTTTTGAGGTGTCGAATTCGAA